CTGAAGGGTCAGCTGTGAGTTGGTTCCGGCTCGACAGGATACAACAACAGTTGGAGGGAACTCTAGTGGGTAAAGAGTTATCAAACCAAAAGCAGGTGGTTCAAATCCACCAGCTGCTCCATGGGAGAAAGATGGGCACAGCCTCTGAAAACTAGCTGGAAGGTCAGCTACGATCAGGTCCAACTCCACAGTAAGAAGTTGTTGAACTAAGTTTAATTTAAATTTCAAATAAAGAAATAGTTCCTTAGAATAAGTATTTTCTCGAATCTCTGGTGGTACAAACCATTAACATGCTTGGCAACTCACTTTTCAGTGAGTTGGCTGTTCAAGTTCATCAGTGGTCCCTGGAAAGCTGTGGTCCCTCTGGAACACAGCTCTACTCTGACAAACATGGATTTGCTGGGAGTCAGACTCAGTGACTCAGTGGCAACTAGCTTAACTGCTAAAGGTGTGTTGCTGGTATAATAACTGCAATCAAGTCGACTACAACTCATAAAGACCTTAGGGACAACAGGCCAAAATCTCACAAAAACTCAGAACATATTTTATCATCGTTCTGTAAACATTTTCCCCTCTGTCCCTTATAATAAAAGCTTTCTCCTGCCCAAATATAGACTCCTATGTCTTCTAGACCCTATGAACAATATTCTTCTATTCCCTGACATAAAATATTGACTCCAATGAGCAAACCATTTCTCTGCCTTCTCTTTCCCTCTTCCTCCACTAAATTCCCTATGTCGTCTGTCATTTCTTTCAAGAGTAGACACACTACTGCTCTTTCTCCTCACACCACCTCTTCTCCCTATTTGTTTCCTACTCCTCAGGGAATAACAGTACTCCTCTTCCCACGTAGAGCCATTTCCCCTCTTTCCTTGTACCTTACACCATTAGTTTCGCATATGCGCCAGAGCCTGTGCTAAGCTGAGTTCAGGAATGAGGTCAGTATTACTATTACAGTCATTTCATGAGACTCAGGAAGGTGAATGAAATTTCCCAAGATTACACAGCGTCATCAGATTTGAATACGTGTATTGTGGTTTTTAGGTGCTATCAACTACAATTCATAGTGACCTTGTGAACAAAAGACACCAAAATCGTGGCAAAACAGAATAAATCGAATCTCCTTCTCATTTGGTCTCTCTCTCTCAGTGCTGTCAAATCAGAACTAATTCACAGTTCCACCTCCACTGAGTTTTCAAGGTTGCAAATTGCACAGAAGGAGGTTGGCTATCTTCCTCCAGTGGAGCTGCTGGTGGATTTGAACTAGAGCTCTCAGACATTTGGTTATTGTTGTCACATGCTGTCAACTTGGAACCACCTCATGGCTAACCCTCCAGCAGGTTTTCAGAGGTAGTAAATCGCACAGAAGGAGATTGTCCATCTTTCTCATGCAGAGTGGCTGCAGGATTCAAACAGAGTTCCTTAGGATTGGTAGTGCAACTTCTTACCACCAGGCCACCAGAGCTCTCTGGACATTCGGTAGTTTTTAAGAAGATTCTAATGAGCAGCCGATTGAGAAGCACTCCAGATTACAGGACTCCCTGCTCTTCAGTATAACCAGCTGGCATCAAGGCAACTCCAGCCCACGTCTGTCTGAGTAGAACTGTGTCATAGAGCTCCCAGTGGATTTCTTAGAAGAGGATTACCGGGACTTTCTTTTGAGGTACTTCTGGGCAGATGTAAATTGCCAACTTTTCGCTTAGCAGCTAAGAACTTAATAGTCTGCACCACCCAGGGACTCCTTGCCTTAATATAGCCATGGAGACTCTACTGGACTGCTTTGCCCAAGGAAACACTGTCCTCGGTTCCCTTTGGAGCAGAGCCCCCTTGGCTGTGAGTACTCATTCTTTCAGAAGAGGGGTCACAGTCAGGCTGTGCTGCCCATGTGCCTGGCATCCAGAGAGTGGCTGAGGCCAGGGCCATGCCTGTGGTCCCCTGTTCCTGGCTGGTTCTTTACCCCCACACCATCCCCTTCCAGAAATAGCCCACATCTCACTGTTGCTGCGAGAATTTCCATGAGGTCAGCTTCCCAGAGCAGCCTCTGGGCACCCTGCACCCCTCTTACCTCTCCTGAAGTCCTGTGGCCGGCTCGCCCTTGCAGGGGGCTCTCCCGGGTGCTGTGTCTCCGCCGGGCAGGTGGCGTTGGCACTGGGGTAGAAGCTTGAGTCTGGAGCTTCCCTAAGGCCTGGGGCCCAGGTTCAGGAGCCTGACTCAGGGAAGAGTCAGGTCTGCTGTTGGTGGTGGGCTCCACTTTGGGCTTTGGAGGGGCAAATCTCTTCCTGTTGAGAAGCCGCATCTGCTGAGGGGCCAGGGTTGGTGTGAGCTGGCTGGAGGCAGCAGACTCCTCAGCTCTGGCTTGGCTGCTGGTCTTCCCCATGGGCATCTCTTGGGGTGCCCTGTCACTTAAGGACTGGGGCCCTTCCTTCTGAGACCTGGCTGCTCGAGTGCTCTCCAGATACATGTCCTTCAGGGAGAAGTACACCTCCTGATCTGGACTTGCAGTTGGGGCCGGGGTAGAGGTCAAGGCTGGGGCAGAGGTCAGGGCAGGGGTCAAGGCAGGGGCAGAGTCAAGGGGTGAGGGAGGGGCAGGTGTTGGAGCAGGGCCCAAAGCAGAGACATCTTGGGCCTTGTCTTGAGGGAGCATGGCAGAGCCCATCTTCCTAGTACCATCTGCTCCAGAGGACCCAGCTGCCCGGGAGGCTCTGCCCCTGGGCCGGGCCTGAACCTGGGCTGTGTCCCTGGGCCCCTGCATCTCACAGGAGTCAGGCCTGTCAGAACTGGGACCATGGTTTTCAGAATGGTGTCCGTGAGCTGCCTGCTCTGACTCTGACTTCTGCAGACCGTGCTGAGGTGCCTCATCTTTCTTTTTCTTCTTGGCCCCGGACTCCTTTTTGGGGGCTCTTTGGGGCCCGAGCTCCATGGCTTCACAAATGTACGTCAGCAAGCTATCCTCTCCATTCTCAGTGGCTGCCTCTCCGTTGGTGGTCACCTCCCCGGGAGCAAAGCTGTTGATCAGGCCCATGCCTGGGTGCTGAGCGGGCTCAGTCTCTCCTTCCTGCCAGCTCGTGGGGGGCCCACCCTCAGTCTCCCTGGGAGGGGCTGGGGAGACGGGCACCTGAGCCCCACTGAGCCTCCGCTTTCGCTGGAAGCGGTCAGGGCTGAGCTTGCGCAGGGTGTCCTCCTCGGCTGCCTCCTTCCCATGCTTCCAGCTCTGCTCTATCTCCCGCATCTTGGCCGCGGCCTTGCGCTTCAATTTGTCAAACCAGCGCTGGTGGATCTTGTACTCAGTCATGGTGCCCACCTCCAGCACCCCCGAGCAGGACACGATACCCTTGCTGTTCCGGGCAGAGGCCTGGTAGATGGCAGCATCTTCTTCTCGACACCTAGAGGTAGAACCAAGAAGTGGCTCCCTTCCCCTCCTGGGAGGAGTGAACCCCCTGACCCCGAAAGCCAGGGCCTTGCTGGTCTGAGCCTCCCTTCCTGCTCCATATCTCCTCGTACCCCAGTCCCTACCCCCTGCCCTGAGTGACACACCCTGGCCTCAGACATTACCACAATTCAACGCCCTCAGCTATAATTGAGGAAACTGAGGCTGGAGAGAGGGTGAGAACTGACTGGGATCACACTGTCCCAGGAGGGATTAGATTCAGGCCCCATGAGAACTTCCTTCAGAATCAGGTGACCCAAACAGCGCCTTGTGAAGTAAGGATGACACAGGAGCTTTTTTTGGCAGCTGACCTCATGGAAAATGTTTCTGTGGGTCAAGACCTCCTGTGGTTACGCTCAGCTCTCTGGCTGTCAGAAATGCACCCACCCTGGCCTTAAGGAGATCCAGACACTGGCAGACAGACGCAGTTGGCCAGGTGGTGGAACGCAGCTGCAGGACCCTGCCCTCCACCCTCAGATCCTCCATCTTCAACTCATGGACTGCATTTCTTAGAGCAGGCTCAGGACCACAGGACCCTCTGGGGGGCAGACAGAGGGACCCAGGCCCTCCCCCTCACCTGTAGAGCTGCAGGGTGTGGCGGTTGCCCTGGTGAGTGATCTCGTATTTGGGCAAGCCACAGTAGCGGTCCAGCTCGGTGTCATCCTTGTACCAGGTGACCTCTGGCTCTGGGTATCCTGAGAAAGAAGCAGGAGACTGGGATGTAGGAAAGCCAGTTCCAAAAAAGTGTGAGAAGAGAACAGGATGCCATGGCTTCCCAGGCCTCCTGACGACTGGTCAGGACACCTGCCACGGGTATGCTGGAAAAAGGGAGCATCATATATATATGGTCTTGTTTTTAGAAGCCAGGCTCTGTCTAAGTTGTAGATTTGTTTGTTTGTTTTCCTTCAGCAAGTGGAAGGCATGTCTAAGAAGAGAAAGCTTTTAGCGTTCTGGTAGGAATGGATACAAGAACTTTCTGGAAAACCTTTCCTTCCACAGTGACTCGTGCTACTTACTCAACTGTGGCAACTACCTCCCCAAACCCCACCTCCACCATCACTGCTGAAGATCCTCTTTCCATCACTCTAGGCTTCTCAGTTGTTAGTGATTATTCAGACACCAGCTACAACATCCATCCATTCAGCCAGCTGCCAGCCATCATCTGGCTCCCCACCCACCCACCCCGAGTACAGTGATACCTACTGGTGTCTGCCCTGGCTCTCTTCTCTGGAAATTGCCAGCCCTACCCATGGAGAAGAATTTCCAACTGTTTCAGTCACATACTCTTGCCTTCATGGCCATAGCTGATTCGTCTACAAGTAGGGCCGTGCTCTGCCACGTGAGCAAAGAAACAGACACAGCTGGTCTGCAGTGAGACAGAAAAGTGAAATTTATATTCTGGATAGAAGAAGAGGTGGGAGGCAGAATGCCAACATCCTTCCAAAGGCCGACTCCATTCTTTGCCTGAGCTCAGCTACATTCCTGTTTGTCAGTTCCAGAAGAAGCAGCTTGTCTGGCCTTCAAAGAAATCCCACTTTATTTCTTAAACTAACAATAGGTGATTTTTAGAATTTGCCAAAAATATTCAAGCCGCCAACTTCCGGTTCGTAGCTGAGTGCTTATTCTTTGCACCACCCGAGGACTCCTCCTACCACAGCATGCTCACATAAGCAACTGCTGGGTGCCAAGCTGGACTATGAGGACACAGGCATGTGAGACAAGGTCTCTACTCCAAAGGGACTGATTTCACAGTAGAAAAGATAAAACATATACCGACATAGGTGCCAATGCTCCTGGCATCTGTTTCCATCTGTTTGGCATGCCTCCACTCACATCTTAAGAAAGCTGCTTCTCTGCTGTAATCTCATCTCCTCATGCCCACCCAAAGATACCTCCCCTCGATCATCCAACCTTTCCCCTCTATTATCTCATTCTCATTCACACTCTATTATCTCATTCTCATTCACACACCATAAAGAGCTTCCTTTGATCCCCATGTTCTCCTGCCCCTTATGTCTCTGCTCTCTCCTGTATAGATGAACGTATTGTAAGAGTTGTCTGCACTCACTGCCTTCACTTCTTCTCCTACGATCAGGTGTTGGTCCCCTCTACAGTTCAAGATCTGCTCCCATTGAGGTCACCATGACTTGCACACGGCCAAATGCAAAGGTTGACCCTTATGCCTCATTTGTCCAATCCATCACTAGCACTCACCCTACTTCCTGAAACTCTTTTCTAACTTAGTTTTCTGGACACTTCTCCCCTCTAGTACTCCAATTTCACTGGTCCCTCAATGGCACTGGTCCTTCAATCACATTCATCATAAAAATTTGTGTTAGCATGTTTGAGAGCTCAGGCCTCACAAACATCCTCTGTCCACACTCACAGTCTAGAGGGTCTAATCCTGTCCCACAGCTTTTAAATATTTGTGTGCTGATGGCTCCCAAATCAGCATCTCCAGCCTGGACCTCTTCTCTTGACTCCTAGAGCTTATTTTTTTTTTTCACTGCATATTTAGAGCCCCATCTAATCTACTGATCTACTAAGACTCAAACTTAACATATGCCAAGAGCCAAACTTCCTACTTCCCTTTCCAAGACAACTCTCAGGTTCCTATTTCCCTTTCCAGGCCAACTTCCAGAATGGCAACTTCATCCTTCTCTTTTCAACCAGATCAAAATCTCTGAAGTAATCCCTTTACTTCTTTCCACAACCTTTCCATTGGGCCACCCTGTGAGCCTCTCCTTTCAAAACATATCCAAAGTACTGTCACTACTTGCCATGACCACCAACCTGGTCCATATAGCTATGACCTCAGGCTCCATTTCTACAACTCCTTCCCCCCTCATCTCACTTACTCCCATTCTTGTGCCTCCTCAGCTCATTCACAGCACACAGCCAGATTCTTTTCAAAGTCAAGCCATGTAGCACCTCTGCTCAAAACCAGCCAGTTGTCGTCAAGTCCACTGTGGCTCATTGCAGCCCCAGGTGTGTCAGTAAATTGTGTTCCATAGAGATTTCCAGTGGCTGGTGTTTGGAGAGTAGATTGCCAGGTCTTCCTTTTGAGGTACCTCTGGTTAGACTCAAACTTTCAACCTTTTGGTTAGCAGGTAAGTACCTAACCATTTGCAAAACACATCCAAAACAAAAATCCACTGTCCATGCAGTTAGTTTCACTTCATAGTAACTCTATAGAACAGAATAGAAATGCCTCAGAAAGTTTGTGAGGCTGTAAATCTTTAGGGAATCAGACTACCATATTTTTCTCCCACAGAGTAGGCTGGTAGGTTTGAACCATCCACTTTTAAGTTAGCAATTGAACTCTTAACTACTGTGCAACAAAACACTCACTGCTCAACCAGACCCTCATGGCCTGGTTCCCAATCTCTCTCTGGCCTCCTTGTCAGCCCTGCAGTCCTGCTGGTTCCTCCTCTAACACACCATGCAATACCTGACCTTGATCCCCTCAGTTCTGCCACACAAGCTTCATAAAATAGTAACTCTCCCCCCGGCACATTTATCCCTCTCCTTTGTTTGTTTTCCTTCATAGAAACATCCCTATCTGATATTCCTGAGTTTGTTCATTTACTATCCATCCTTTTCTAAACACTCCCGTTTTAAACACCAGCTCCAAAAGAGCAGAGCCTTCTCTGTGCTCTTCACTGCTGTGTCCCCAGTTTCTAGAGCAGGTCCTGTATGAAATCAGCACTGATCAAATCATTATTGTTGTCATTATGTAGTGTCCCATCAGAACAGACCCATAGCTGCACTCCGTGGGTTTTCAGAGGCAGTAAATCACATAGGGGGAGACTACCCATTCTTCTTCCAAGGAGCATTTAATGGGTTAGAACCACATGCCTTTGGGTTGACAGCACAACTCCTTACCATTAGGCCACCAGAGCTCCCTCATTAAATAAATCATTATATATAATAATGTACACAGAAAACCTCAAGGACTTAACAAACAAATCTGTTAGAGCTAGTAGACCAATTTAGTAGTGTGGCAGGATATAAGATCAATATCCAAAAATCAGTGGGATTCCTTTACAGTAACTAAGAGAACTCAGAGAAGGAAACCAAAAAAGCAATGCCATTTATAATGGCCAACCATAAATTGAGATACTTGGGAGTGAACCTAACTAGAGACACAAAAGACCTGTACAAAGAAAACTACAGAACATTTCTTCAAGACACAATAAAAGAACTAAATAAATGGGAAAATGTTCCCTGTTCATGGTTAGGAGGACTCAATATTGTAAAAATGGCAATCCTACCAAGAGCAATTTACATGTTCAACCCAAACCCAATACAGATACCAAATTCATTTTTTTATGAGATCAAAGGAAAATTGTCAAGTTTATTTGGAAAGGAAAGAAACCCTGAATAAGCAAAGCACTTCTGAAAAACAAAAATGAAGGGGGAGGCATAGCACTCCCTGACCTCAAAACCTACTATAAAGCAGTCAGTAGTAACCAAGACCGCACGCTACTGGGACAATAACAGGGACATGGACAGATGGAACAGAACTGAGAACCCAGAAATGGGCTCAAGTATTTATGGTCAACTGATATTTGACAAGGAAATAAAACTATCAAATGGGGAAATGACAACCTCTTCAATAAATAGTGCTGGCAAAACTGGACTGCTACACACAGAAAGCTGAAACAGGATCCACATCTCACACCATACACAAAAATCACCTCAAGGTAGATCATTATAGATGAATAAATAAAGGAACACACAGTGAAGTGCTCAGGTACAGGGAAGGGAGCAAGCACCTCTGCTTGAGGAAGCACGAAAGGTCTATTATGCACCAGTGATGCTTGAAGTGAGCCTTGAAGGAAGAGCAGAATGGCAGGAAATATGGGTTCAGTGCCCTCCTCTGTCCTCACTCTGGCTCTAGCATCTCCCGTAATTTCCCATCATGCCTATAATCACGGCACTGTAATTGACTGTTTCCATGCCTTTCCTCCATGACTGCACATATATCTTATTCACTGCCACATCCTTACCACCTATGACAGAGCTCAACACAAAACAGTTACTTACTGAAACTCTTAGATGAATGAGTAAATGAGTGAGCGAATGAACAAACAAGTAAGAGGTAGCCAGAAAGGGCATGCCTGACAAAGAAACAGAAGAGGGGTGCGGTGACATAGAAGGCACATGGGGGACCCACGTACAGAAGCAGGGAGCAGGGGAGGTAAGGCTACAGCTAGGCTGGCCAGGAACACACTCTGGGCAGCGCTGGCTGTAAAGCGAGCACCATGTTTCCACTGTGAGCTAAAGTCCTTGTTTACATCACTGTGCAGATCACCAGGGCCAGCACAGGTGTCCTCACCATCCCATGACCCGCTCAGCTCGGCCTCAGCTCCCAGGGCATCTGAGTACAGTCAGGCTGGGGCTGGGAGCAGGGGTGGGCAAGTGAGCCTGGGGGTTCCAAATGGACCTGATGGCCCCAAGGCTGATCCTCACCCTCAATGCCACACTCTGGTGTCCTTCTCATGTTGTTGATGTTGTTGCTGTTGTTGTTGTTATTGTGTACGACTGAGTTGGAATCGACCCATCACGGACCCTCAGCCAGGTTTTCAGAGTCAGTTAATCACATGAGAGGAGAATACCCATCTTTCTCCCACAAAGAAGCTGGTGGATTCGAACCACTTGCCTTTGGTATGCATCTCAGCTTCTTTTCTCT